AGCAGAGGCCGTGCAACATTTGCAGCCTCTGCTCTCCATCACAAGAAGTCCTGGGGGAGGTTCAAGGTAAATTCTTGCTGTATCCGCTTCGCAGCCTCGGATAGCCCAATAAATAAAACAGGAAGTTGGCAAAGCCCTGATTCAGCAAAGGTGTGAGCACAAGCTCGGCATTAACCTCTGCTTAAGCTGATTTGGAATGAGGGAGTTAATCCAATGGCAGCCCCAGAGTCAGACCAGAATGTGGGACCTGAGCAGCTGAAGCATCAGGGTTTTAAATCTGAGAGAAGCAAATGATTCAGGATGAGGAATTTCTGAAATGGAGGTAGAGAACAAAGAATGGGCACGGCAAGAAAGAGTGCTCTGAGTCATGGGGAGATCTCTGGGGTAACAGAGGCCGGCAGGAGCAGGACCTGCCGAGCCGTGAGCGCTTCTGCAGGAGATGTGCTGTGAGGAGGGCCGGGGCACACAGCCCTGGGCTCTGGGGGCACAGCTCTATGAGCAGGGTGCAGTGAGCGGGCACTGGGACCATCCGCCCGGCTCTTTGTGCTCCTGTGATGTGACTCCATCACGATGCGGTTCATATTCAGTTATGGTGTTTTAATGTAGTCATGGCTACACTGAGCAGACACGTTTCTTCCTGATTTACACCGCTGGAATCTGCGATGCGAGTGGAGGCTGCGTACAGCCCCTGTCCCCAGGCTGCCGTCCCAGCACCGCAGAGAGGCGAGCAGCGCGCGGTGCCAAAGGGAAGCACGGGGCGTACCTGCGCCCTGCGGAGTTACCACTGCCCTCGCTGCTCCTCCTGCCCTGGCCCTGGGTGCTGCCAGCACTGCGCTGTGCCCAGGTCTCACGGCCTCGGCTGCTCCATGGTGGGGCTCTGGTGGACGTCCCTCCATCTGCAGAGTGGCTCTGGGGCACCGACCTGCCATGATGTTCTGCTACAGCTTTGGTCTGCTGGTTGGAAACGTACAGCGATGATGCCCTCTAGGGAGCAACTTGTTTTCCCTTCCTCTAATTCAGCTTCAGATTTGTGAATTTTAAAGCACACATTGTGTACATAGAGGTGTGCTCGTATCTGTACGGACGCTGTCTGTGTGCGTTCTGCAGTAATTCTCCTTGGATGCTCTTGCTTTCTCCTACAGTCAATTTCTTTGAATGACACGGAGCTGATAATGAATGTGATTTCAGTGCCAGATGATCGGGCTGGCTCATCTCATTCCACCTCTCCCTGTTTTGAGCAAGAATGTGAGGACTCGCTGTGTCTATTTCAGATTCCATCATGAAAGGAATAATTGAGATTGAGATTCTTAGTCACTCAATGCAGAAGGTCAGGGAATTAATGCTGTGTTACATCCAGACCATTCATTTACTGTGCCTCCTTTTTTAGCTGTCTATAGGGGAAAACAAATGTGCCACAGAGAAGGTAACGCATCTCCAATGCCACGCACATCGCCAGTCTCTGATAATGCACACTGTTTGTCTTTATTTTGGGGGTGTTCCAGGGCAGTTTTATCATTGTAATTGATTAGTGGCTACAGGGAAAAAAAAATCCAGGAGTAACAGGAAGAAATGAATCCAGGAAAACCATTGACTCAGTTGTAGCATTGATCTGCTTCTGGAAATTATTTATAGGAAAAGATTCACAGTTAATAATATTAGTTTGGACTTCTGGAACAGTTTATCAGGGGATCTTAAAGGCCTCTGCTAACAGTTAATCAAGTAGAAGAATAAGGTAGAGAGCCTCATTTCAGGAGAGGGAAGGCAGCTGGATTGCTGGCATGGATGTGGCCCAACAGTGCATCTCCAAGGATGCAGCGGCTGCAGAGGCAGTGGCACAGCGCAGGGCTTTCAGGGGTGCAGTTTGGGGGTGGTCCTTGAAGAAGTCAGCACAAAACTCCTGCTTAGAAGTCTTGAGATGTTCACCTGAGCTACAGAGCGACCAGCAGGGACACAGCAAACACTCTCTCCTCTTCCCACATTGCCTCCACATGTTGTTTTTGTTTTTAGCTTAATTGATCCGTATCCCACCCTCCTACCCACAGGAGAAATGGCACATCTGAAAAGAGCAGGAGCATTTCTTTCAAGTGGTCCGGTTGGTTTTTCTGGTGCCTATATACAAAATTGCCTGGAAGTAGTAAATAGAATTGAACACCGTGGTTCAGAAAAACAGAATTCTAAGGGCTGTCTGTTGATTTCAAAGCTGATGAAAACAAAGCAGGCTTTGAAATCCTTCCTTGCAGAGCTCTCTTTCTCCCTTCCTTATCATCTAAAAGATGGGCCTGATAATATTTGTTTTCCATTCTTGTTTTGAAACAAGTTGAAAAAATGATGCTCTTGCAATTAAGATGAAAATCCCAATGATTTTAATAAGGTCAGTGTAACGTCTTCATTAGCAAGATGCTGAAATAACTTGATGCAGATCTGGAACTGCCGCTGACAAAAACTTCAGTCTCCCCCTGACGTGTGGAGCCCCATCTGCAGCAGGTGTGAGCTCAGAGCCGGCCGGCACAGCCCGGTTCGCACAGCAACTGCCCACCAAGGTTGGAAAAGACCTCCAAGGTCATCCTGTCCAACCGTCCACCTGCCACCAATATTCCCCCACTAAATCGTATCCCTCAGTGCCACATCCAAATTTTCATGAGCACCTCTGAGGATGGTGACCCAGCACTCCCCGGCAGCCTGTTCCCATGGCTCACCACTCTTCCATGGAAGAAATGCTGCCTAGTGCCCAGCCTGACCCTCCCATGGAGCAACTTGAGGCCATTCCCACTCGTCCCAGTTGGCAGCTGGTAGCAGGGCAGGCAGCCCAGGCAGGCAGGCAGCGCTCACCACTAGGAGATGCAGTTGGTTGTCAAAGGACGGACAGCCTTAAAAAGCAAAACCAAAACCAGTGTCTGTACCCTGTCCAACTTTTGCCTGTGGGTATTGCGCCCAAGCTGTGGAACCCACGTGGGCCCCAGGGCCGTCCTGGAGCCATGGCCCCTCAGTGTGTCGGGGGAGCGGTTCTGCAGATTGCTGCCAACACCGAGGCAGAGAGGCAGCACCAATTGTTTGCAATGACATATTCTGCATTTTAAACGATCTCTGATTTCCTGGCAGCTCCCCCGTGCACTGCCCCTCCGTAAAGCTGTCTAAATAACATTTGTCAGGTGGAGCCGTGGCCGGGCGGCAGCAGGGCAGCCCGCAGCACCACTGCTGATCAGGGACTTCCAAAACCCACCGGCCAATCAATCTCAAGACCTTATTAAATGATAGATGGAATATAATATAAGTCATTATTTCTTCCCTGTGCATGAAAATGAATTATTCAGTAAAGATTTAGATCCTTTTTATTATGACACTGAATTTATAGCGCATGCATAACATAAATGCAGATTCCTCCGTGGCAGAGAGGCGAACCTGCTCCCAGTGCAGTGAGGTGTCCTTACCTGGCCCAGCACCTCTCACACCTTACCTGGCTCATCACTCTCTCTGCGGTTTGGCAGCCCAACATCTGCGTTCCGCAGAGCCACAGAATCATTAAGCTTGGAAAAGACTTCCACGATCACTAAGTCCAACCCCAAGCCACCCCACCGTGCCCATTGACCACATCCTTCAGTGCCACATCCCCGCAGAGCGGAGCACCTGGAGGGGCAGTGAGCCCTGCTCTGTGGGCAGCTGTGCGGGCACCCGAGTGTTCTTTTCGAGAAGAAACTTGTTGGGAATTTCAGACATCACTTAGGCTCCCATAACCCACGTGTTGCTGGCAAGAGCCAGCCATTGCTTAGGCCCTACAAATGCTTCCTGCAACAAACCGTGCATCTCTGTTCTCAAACTGCTGTGTGTCAAGAGCTCAGCAAGCCTAAAAGCTGGTAACGAGGGGCAGGTGTTGTGTGGGCAGGTGTGGGCATCCCGGAGTCTGCTGTGTGCAGTGCCACGGCTCAGAGTCTGCGTTGGTATTGGTACTGGTAACTTTCCTTGTTAATGGAATGAGCGCTCCAACTTTTAATTGTGCAGCTGGGGACAACATTAGCGCTGAGCAGCAGCTACAGAAGTTAACTTTGCAGGTCGTTAGCTCCTGAAAATCCGTTGGGAATGGATCTTTAGCACGGGCGGCCAAGAGGAGAGCAGAGCACGGCGTGGGAGCGGGGCTGGGAACGGGGAGAGGGCAGGGGTGGGCGTCGTGGACATCGCCTGCGGGCACCGCGTCACCTGCGGGCTGCGGACCGTGGGGGAGGTCAGGATTTGGGGCGCCGGGGTGCGGAGTTGCCAGCGCGAGCGGGCACCGGGACGAGGGGCACCGGGACGTTGACTTTAGACCAGCGGGGGCACCGCGACGTCGGGTGCCGACATCCGCGGGCGCGGGGACGCGGGGCTGCAGCCGTTCGCTCGCGAGCCGTCGCCGGTCAAGCGCCGCCTTCCGACCCCTTCCACCCGCCCTCGCTCCGCAGCGCTCCCTAACCCCGGCCAGAGCCGTGGAGCGGCGCCCCCGGACGGAGGAGGCCGAGCGGCGCCGCCGGGCACGCGGCGGGGGGGGAACAGCCGCGGCATCGGAGGCGCGCGCGCGGAGCGAGGAGGGCGCTCGCGGCGGTGACGTCACGCAGGGCCACGCGACGGCGGCGGCTCCGCCCCGTGGCGCGGGGGTGGGGGGGGGCGGCGCGGCGCGCGGGATGGAGGGAGGAGAGGATGGCGGCGGGGGGGCGGGACGCGCGGCGCTGAGCTAAGCCGAGCCCACGTGTGACGGATCTTGGCCGCTTCCCCGGCGCCGCTCCAGTGAGGTCCTCCGGTAGCGGAGGGAGGAGGAGGAGGAGGTGGTAGTGGTGGTGGTAGTGGTGGAGGAGGGGGGGAAAGGAAAGGAAGGGAAAGGAAAGGAAGGGAAAGGAAAGGAAGGAGGGGAGCGGAGCGGAGCCGCAGCGAACCGAGCCGAGCCGGGCCGGGCCGGGGAGGCGGCAGCGGCGGCGAGCGGGGGGGGGGGGGGGGGGCTCCCGCCCGGCGCGGATCGCGGGGGGCTCCGCGCGGCCATGGAGGCGGACGGGAGCCAGGCGACCTCGGGCGGCCCCGGCGAGGCGCAGCACGACCCCGGGTAAGTGTGCGGGCGGGGGGGCCTCCCCGGCCCCGCTCCGCGCCGTGCCCCGTCAAAATGGCCGATGGCGGCCCGGCGCTGAGCCCCGCTCCGCTCTCTCCCCCCAGCAAGATGTTCATCGGCGGCCTCAGCTGGCAGACCTCCCCAGGTAGGCGCCGCGCCCGCCCCCCCGCCCCCCCTCCGTGCCCGCGCTGCCCCCCGCTCTCCTCTCCCCGCAGACAGCCTGCGCGACTATTTCAGCAAATTCGGGGAGATCCGGGAGTGCATGGTCATGCGGGACCCCACCACCAAGCGCTCCAGGTAAGCGGCCCCCCCGGGGGCCCCACAGGCCGGGGGGGGGGGGGGGGGGGGGGGCGGGGGGGGCTTTGCGGGGCGGCCCGGGTCCGCCCCGCGGAACAAAGCGGCGGCGGTGCGGGAGGTGCGGCCCCCCGGTGCTCATCGCCCCCCGCCCGTCTCCGCTCTTTGTCTCGGCAGAGGCTTCGGCTTCGTGACGTTCGCGGACCCGGGCAGCGTGGACAAGGTGCTGGCCCAGCCGCACCACGAGCTGGACTCCAAGACGGTAGGTGGCCGCCCCCAGCGCCGCCCCGGATTCGGCTCGAACTCGCGAAAGCGGCAACTTTTTTTATTTTATTTTATATTTTTTCCGCTTTAATCTGAATTCTCCCTGTCGGCCGGTGGCTCCTCCCCACGCCTCACGTTCTATCGAGCGATGACATTGAAAAAATCCCAGGGTGAAATGTAACTTTTTGTGGCGTTCAGCTGCAGGTTTCCTGCGGGGCACTTTGTGCGGCTGCGATGGGTGATGATGTCCTCAGTCCGTCCCAGGGCCACCTGCAGCCGCACCGTCCCCTCAGTTGGTGCTGCTCCCGGAGCCCACGCTGGGGACCCGTGGGATTCACGCGTTGATCCACGAGGGTGA